GGCTCGAATACTCATGATCTCCTCTTCTTTTTGCACATAGAGGAGTTTGAGGGTGTCTCTCTCCTCCATAAGCTTTTTGAGATTAGCCTCACATTGGGCCAACTCAACCCGGTATTTGGAGGACGCTTCTCGATGGAGCGCCGTAGCCTGTGCAGAAAAAAAGAAAATCAGACTTAGAGAAATAATAACAAATGCAAGCATGGTAACATCATCGACCGCAAGTAAAACTCACTTGGAAACCAGTGGGAAGCTGCACCATAAAGAAGAAAATAGATGAAAAAAGGTAAAGGAAACATAATAATTAATCAAACATTATCAGTGAAGTTCTACTTACGCTTCATGTTCCATTCTTGGGAACTTATGGCTTTCAATCACCATACCATAAGTTCCAATACTTAATTCATACTCATATTCTCATAATATATCCATACATATAAGTTAAGGGTGTAGGATTACCTTTTGGAATAAATCTTACAAAACCCTCCATTGAGTTCTTGAAGAAATTTCTTGAAGATCTATGTATTTTATGGAGGATTGAGTTAGTTTTAGGGTGGAATTGATGGAATGAATCACAAAATTAGTAGGGATTACTCACCTTGAAGATGGGGGGAGTTGGAGGTCTTGAGAGAGTGGAGGAAAATCCCAAAGTTCGGTCAAGAGAAATGGGGTAAAATGAACCCCGGAATGAGTATATAGCATTTCGGGCACCACAAGTGGCGCTGGTTCCAGTAGCTGAAAGAAATCTCAGTGCCAGGGACAGCGTCCCACGCTACCCTAGCGCTGGCGATGGGAAATGATTTTTTATGACACAGAAATAGGTATAACTCTCTCATACGATATTCGAATTCGACGATTCTTTTTTGCTATGGCTCTGTAATTTCAATATGGATCTAATGCTTCAATCAAAACTAAATTTGGAGCTCGTCTGCTTAATGTGGTACCATATATACTCAAAGAAACGACGTCGTTGAAACACTTTTGATGTCAAAATAATGTGGTTCCACCCCATACGTCTCCTTTGATACTCTAATACGTTATTCTCGAATACCGTTGTCGTACTTTAAAATATTAAATCATTAGAAAATTTTAACGGGGCCTTACACAATACGCCAAAAAGAGGGGTAGACCTGGCCTAGGGTTACCCGATATTGGCGGCAGAAGTCGATTATGATAGGATCGACGGAACCCAGTGTGAAAGGGTAAGTATACACACTTAAGAACCCTTTCACATGAGTGATGATGTCCTCTTCGAGGGTAGGAATCACCACCTCTTTATTTTACCAATGGCAGTCCTTTTTCACCTGCTCGAGATCTCCTTCGAATATCAAACAAATGTATCTAGACATGGGCTCGCATCGGCCAGGAACCGAAGAGGGTTTTTTGACTTTAAAGTCGGAAGTAAGTTCACATGGCCCGGGGATGCACTCTTCGATACGTGGTTCCACCGGTGTTTTGTCACCGGCCGGCCGCGATGAGGAGGCTTTTTCTTCTTGAGGAATGTTCTTTGATATTTTTTCCATTGCTATATGAGATTTAAGGAAGGAAAAAGAGGAATTTGCATTTTAATAAGAGATTGGCAAAAGGAAACCGACAAAATTGATGAATTTGAAGAGAATAGAAGAGCTTTTGAAGATTAGAAGAAGTTTGAAAGTAAAGTTTGAAAAGATTATGGAGGTGGTCTATTTATAATAGCCACTTTGACGGTTTGAAAGCACTGGTGGCCGACCATCAACTGGTGTTAATTATTGACCTTGGGAACTGTGTAGACGCGACGCTTCAATCGCTTCTGTCGCTTACGTCATGATGTTGACGTCATAATTGATCGAGGTATTAAATCGAAGTCTCAAATTCGTTTCTTCTCGTTACACTCCAAAAAATGAGGGGACTATCTGTATACGGTCGAAATCGGGCATACCCGATTTCGTTGGCAGGGGAGTTGCCTCGAGGGTAACCTCATAATAGATCGGGCTCGAGTTCGAAGAAAGAACATCATGCCTGGAGATCGAAGTGTTCACTGAGATCGAGGCCGAAAACAATCGAGATCAAACATGACTGATTTCGAGTAAGACAATAACGGAATGGCGAGATATCAGTAACCGGTCGAAGATCCCGTTGGGAATCCCAGAACAGATCAAATCAAAGCGGTTATTAGTGCCAATCATGGTATCTACTTCCATTATTAGAGTTGTGCCTTATTTGGGATTCCTCTATTACATAAAGAGGGATCCCATTCACTTGTAAAAGGGACAATGATTATTCACTGATAAGAATATACATATACGTAGCTTTCTTTATTTTACTTACTGTTCATCGCTGTTTGTTCCATCATCCACTGTTCTTATTAACTAACCTCGAGACTATCTCGAATCGAGGTCGAGGTATTATTTGCGGATCGATTTGATTTGTTTTATTATCCAATTTATTTATTTAATTTATTGTTTATCAATTGGTGCTAGTTTAAACCACATATCCTTTAAATTACAATATAAGTTTAATTGTTACTCAATTTTTAGGGCAAACAATACCTATAACAACATTTGACGTTTAAATATTTTTTGGCGGTTATAGATAAAAATTATCCAAAAATCAATTATTTTTCTTTTTTAATGTTACATATAAAAGATAAGAAAACTATTCAAATTTAAATCTCAAAAGATATGCATATTTCACTAGTTAAATATTGAAAAAAGCTAATATATTATTAATAAATTCATAACTAAACCTATACATATTTAAACTCTAAGGCAGATATTTTAAAGCTACCTAAAAAAATAAATTCTTTGAAGATTGATGGAAGAACTTTGTAATTGTAGCTTGTTTTGTAGATTTTATTCTCTCACTAATATAACGCTTCAATTGGCGAAGGTTCGTGTCCAAATTTTCAGCAAAAAGGTATGCAATACATTTTCCTTGAAGACAATTTAAGAACTTAACAGTTAAATTTTCTATCTAAATATTTTTTAGAATTTGTCCCATGGAAAAGATATCATATGTAAATCTTCAAATCTTACATATTATGAAAGATAAAAACTTTGTTTAACGGAAAAGATTGTGTGCATATTTTTAGAACTATTAGTAGTAATCTTAAAGATTCTATATGGCTGTTATAGAGGGGTTATTAATTTTATAAAGAGCGTTCTGTTATAAATATGGTTATTGCTGTTATAGGTAAAAATGTATTATAGAGATATAAAATATAACTTAAAAAATCGGTTGTGAAAAAAACTTGACTTTTATAGTGAATGACTTTTATATATGGATGATGTTATAGAGATGACTGACCGTATAATTAAATTTACTCGATTGACACCCTAGAGCTTTGTTATTGGTTTCCACAAGATCATTTTTATCAAGCTAGATAAAGAGTCAGATTTTATACTTTAATTGTGTAATTAGTTATTTTGCGTTACCAGATTATTAAAAGTAACTAGAAATAACTTTATATAATAAGCCGTAACTTGGATAAAATATATTTAAAAACTATTTAACCTACTATAGTATTATCCTATAAATATTTTGCAGTGTCTGGTATTAAAGTTAACTTCTTTAGATATAGCTACTAAATCAAGAGTAGAGCACGTGGGCCAATTACTGAAAAGACATGTACTTGTGTCACCACTACGCTGTACATACCAAGGCAAACTCACTCACCAGCCTGCAATGGAATATAGGAGAAATTAATACTAGAGAAACAAGTAAAGTGGCAAAGTATAAGAAATCATCCGTAAATAGGATGTAAAAAATTAATGGGATTGTCCACCTAAAGTAAAGACATGGTGTGGCAGTTCCCATGAGCAAAAAAGGAATAAGAAGTGGAAAAAAGCAGATTGCGCGTGCACTGAATTAAGCAGCATTTCTTTGGAGGCTTTGATTTGAGGCCGGGCGGCGAAGAATTTACGGATGCGGCGATATCCGGCGTAATATTGGAGGCTGAGGCTGCATTCTTTTGTCTCCTCTCCCACCCACCACTATTACTACTACTCTACTAGTACTACTATTTTTCACTTGGTTTAATTACTCACTCTACCACCATTACTGCATATGAATATGCATGTCCCTCTCTTAACAGAATGTTCGGTTCACTCATTAAATAGACATCAAACGCTCAATAATACTAGTAGTTCTTCTATTTTTTTTTAAAAAAATTAATTCTTTGCATTTGATAGTATAAGGAATTTTAAACGACTATTATAAGTTGATCTTGCTATTAGTGGCTTTAATGATTTCCTCATATTTTTAGGAAATTCATAATTCCTATAGGTTTGAAAAAATTCATTATTCTAATAGATTTGAAAAATGAAAACTAATTGCCTTTGTCGGATTGTGAAACCTTTCTCTTATAGGTTTAAAACTATTTGGGATTTATATATAGGAGTTGTAGTTGGGGATTCTATAAATTGTATTGTGCTTTTCTTCTCATTCTTAGTGAAAAACTCTCTATGCTTCTGCCCCGAGGGTTAGGCTTACCCGAACCTCGTGAAATCCTTGTATTATTTTTTCTTCTCTATTTGCTTTGTATGTAATTGTATGCTAGTTAACCCACGATTTTCTGCAATAATTGGTATCGGAGAAAGATTCGAATTTTTACATATAATCTAGGGTTAATTTGTTTTCATGATCTTCAATAAAGTATGAAGTAAAGAAATTCGATGGGAGTTCTAGTTTCAGTTTATGGAAGATTAGGATGAAATCGTCCCTGGTGTTACAAGGATTATGAAAGGCAATTAATGAGAATTTTTCGGAAGAGATGAAAGAGGTAGAGAAGGCAAGCCTGAAGGAGAAGGCTTTGAGTGCGATCTTCATGAGCGTTACAGATAGCGTTAAGTCTTCAGGAAATTGTTGAAGAAGCTTCTGCAGCAACGACATGCAAGAAGCTGGAAGATCTGTATTCTAAGAAATCGTTGACAAACTGTCTCTACCTGAAAACGTGGTTATACAATCTCCGTATGAATAAAGGTACACCTGTTAAAACTCACTTTGATGAGTTTAATTTAATTATAATGGACTTGAAGAATGTGGATATCAAAATTGAGAGTGCGGATCAGGCCTTGACTGTGTTATGTTCTTTATCGCCGTTTTATGATACTTTTGCCGATACACTACCATATGGAAAAGAGAGTATTTCACTGAAAGATGTTTGTAACGCACTAAAATATAAAGAGTTGAAAAAGAGTTTTTCAAACAGCAGACCTGAGGGCGAGGATCTTGTATAGGAAGAACACAACAAAAGAACTTTAATAGGAAAAAGTCAATCGCCAGATCGAAGTCTAGAGCATGGAAGCAGAACTTTTATGAGTGCGGGGAGCAAGGTCACTACAAGAGAGATTGTCCTGAACTGAAAGAGAAAAGAGGGAAGCAGAAAGTAGATAATTCTGCAAATATTGTTGACACTTGCGGTAATTCTGATGATAGTGACTATGTAGGGGAAGTTTGTGCTGTTAGTTTTAGTCATGGGCAGAATTTCTGGGTTCTTAATTCTGGTGCTACTTTCTACATGTGTCCACATAAAAATTAGTTTGAAACGTACAAGCAAATAAGTGGGACCGTTTACATGGGAAATGATAATCCATTACCAATAGAGGAGATTGGTAACATCAGATTGAGAATGTTCGATAAAATTATCATAAATATTGAGTGTTGGCATGTTTCTCGGATAAAGAGAAATTTGATTTTCCTTTTGACTTTGGATGATCAAGGGTATAAGTTCCACTCTGAGTATGGAATACTGAAAGTGTGTAAAGGCTCTATGGTACTCATGAAGGGTAAAATGCATTCTAAATTGTATCATCTTCAGGCCAGTATATGTAACGACCTGATCGATTATTTTATGTATTTGAGTCTCGTTTTTCCTTTTGAGGCTTCTCCTATGTGTGTTTGTGGTTTTATGACTTGAGGGCATGGTTGGTTCATTTCGAAAAAGTTTTGGAATGACTTGGATCCTTTATTCTTGGTTTAGAAGCTTAAGTTGAAAATATTGACTGTGGTTTGAATTTGTGAAAACGATCTCGGAATGACATTTTGATACCTCCAATAGATTTGTATAGTGATTTTAGATTCAAGCGTATGCCCGAATTTGAATTTGGAGGTTCTTAGGTTGACTTGGCTTATTTTGCTGAAAATTAGCAATTTGAAGGTTTAGAAATTTCTTACGTTTGACCGTAGGCTGACTTTATAGCTATCGGGTTCGGATTTTGGTTTAGAAACTTGGAATAGGTCCGTTTTATTATTTGGTACTTTTTTGCAAAATTTGGTGTCATTCCGAGTAGGTTTAGGAATCGGACGATTGGTTATTATTCTAGCGATTCTTGAGTTCATTGTGAAATTTCTTGTATTTTGATGTTCGATATTCTGGATGTTATTTTTCTATTTTGATCACGCGATCGAGTTCGTATAATATTCTTAGACTTGTGTGGATATTTGGTGTAGAGCCCAGAGGGCTCAGGTGAGTTTCAAACATGTTTCAGATTGGTTTTGGGCTAGTTCTCAGCAATTGGTGTGCTGGTGCTGCAATTATCGCAAATGCGAGCACTAGTTCGCATTTGCGATCATTACATTCGCAAAATTTGCATCACATTTGTGAAGGGGGCAGTGGGTGACAGGCTTCGCATTTGCAAAGCCAGCCTGGCAAATGCAAAGGGGATTGCGTTGGGAGCTAATCGCTTTTGCGACCAAACGACCACTTTTTGCGAGGGGGACTGCCTCCGCAAATGCGAAGTCAGGGTCGCATTTGCGACATTCTCTGGGTCTTTCAGGCAGCGCATTTGCGATGTATTTGTCGCATTTGTGAACCCCAGGTCGCATTTGCTAGACCTGCAGCTGAATAATGGGATTTAGGGACTTAGCTTCATTCATCACATTTTAGAACCCTAGACTCGGTAGGAGCTAATTATGAGGAGAGATTTTAACATACAACTATTGGGTAAGTGATTTTGATCCAATTTCAATTATATTACATGATTATTTATGAGATCTAACCTCTAATCCATGAAATTTAAAGAGAATTTTTGACTATATTTTGGAAAAATAAAAATTTGAGATTTGAGAGTCAAATTGGACTCGGATTTGAAAATAAAATACATATATGGATGGGATTATGGGTTGCCGAGATCTACCCTTGGAATCGGGTTTTGACCGGGCGGGCCTGGGTTGACTTTTATTGACTATTGAGAAATTGTGTAAAGTTGTTAACTTTAATTATCAGAATTGGTTTATCTTGCATTGTTTGATAATTTTAAGTCCCTTTTGGTTAGATTTGAGCTGTGGGGAGGTGAATTTTAAAGGAAAAGCTATTTATAAGTGTTGATTTGGCCTAATTGAGGTAAGTATCTTGCCTAACATTGTGTGAAAAACTTTCACGCATGATTTGATCTAATTGCATTATTTTAATTATGTGAAAGACGGGCACATGAGGTGACAAGTGTGTGTACATGCTTATATGTGATATTTGACCGGTTTAGACTCTTAGGTTATTTATATGCATTTAATTAAAGTTTTTATTACACAGAATATCTTTCATTATTGAGTTTATTCTTTTTGTTTCGTTGAGTTATTGTTGAAATTATTGTACACATTATTATTGATCTGCGGGCTATGTATTTTTTTTGATATTGGTATTGTTGTATTGGCAATGTTGTGGCATATGGGTACGTGTAGTGAAGGTTGATTATTGTGTTGTGATGGGATACGCATGCGGCAGCATAAAGGTGGTGATATTGATTTTCATGCGGCGAGATAAAGGAGTTTTATGCGCGTGTTGCTACTAAGGGGAATTACTTCATTTTGAAGCACACATAACAAAATAAGGGGGCTAAAGCACGTAAAGCTATTTCGGGAAAAATATTTTTAAAATTAATATAAGACTCACGCGACGTTATAAGGAACATTTGTGATTTGTGACTTGTGATTATGAGGTATGGTACCTCGGGGTAATTCTTGTTGTAAACTGTGTGTTAGAACGACTTGGTTATTTGGACAACCATTTGCTTTCCTTAATTGATTTTACTTGTATTTTAACTTTGTTTTGATTATTTTGCTGCTTTAACACATGTTTACTCCTTGTTGCCATTTATTGCTTTTACCTTCCATTATTAGCTTTACAATAATATTCTTTCAATTGTTAGCTTTATACTAATATTCCTTCCATTTTTAGCTTTATATTGATATTCTTTTCACTGTTAGCTTTATATTAATACTTTGTACAAGTTTTGTGTCTAGTGAGTGTCTTTGCTTGTACCTCTTTACTACTCCACTGAGGTTAGTCTTGATACTTACTGGGTACCGTTATGGCATACTCATATTATACTTTTGCATATATTTGTGTAGATCCAGGTACCTCGGAGCGTGCCGGACGTTAGATAGCTGTTTAAGTTGCTGAGGAGACTTCAAGGTATACATGCCATTCTGCCCGTAGGCCTCGGAGTCACCTTCTGTAATCCTTCATTAATACTGTCATTTGAATTCAAGAACAATGTTATATTTAGAGATTTGTAGTATATTTTAAGTAGAGCTTATGACTCTGTACTACCAGTTTTGGGGTTGTATAACTATTGACTAGTTTCAGTCTTATTATGCCATTTATCAGTTTAATTTAATATCTAATTGTTTATTTCTGTTAAATCTCATCTTGTGTTAGGCTTACCTAGTCTTAGAGACAAGGTGCCATCACGATCCTAAAGGTGGAATTTTGGGATCGTGACAAGTTGGTATTAGAGCTTTAGGTTCATAGGTGTTACGAGTCATAAGCAAATTTAGTAGAGTCTTGCAGATCGGTACGGAGACGTCTGTACTTATCTTTAAGAGGCTACAAAACTGCTAGTAAACTCTACTTCTTTTATTCCTCAACATGCGAATTTGTTGATTTTGGAATCTGAGCCTTTATCTCTCAATTCTCTCAAAGATGGTGAGGACACGCACTACCGGATCAGCTGAGCAGACACCTGCGCCCCCTGCTAAAGCCGCGAGAGGCCGAGGCTGAGATAAAGGTCGAGGAGGGGCATGTGCTACAGCTAGAGCACCTGCCAGAGCAATGACCAAGGAGCCACCAGTAGCTCCAGTTGGGGGGCAGGCACCCCAGGCGCCTGTTACTACCCTAAAACTCCAAGAAACTTTGATGCAATTCCTGAGCATGTTCGGTACTTTGGCTCAAGCGGGATTGATCCTAATTGCACCAGCCACTTCTCAGGCTGTGGGAGGAGTAAGACTCTCGCCGCCCATACTCCAAAGCATCGGGTCCATGTTGATCAGGTTCCGGGTGCTTTGCCAGTACACTCCGTTGTCGCGATTTAGCCTGAGGTCATGCCAGTGGCATCAGAGGAGGAGTAGAGGAGGCTTGAGGGGTTCAAGAAGTATGATCCTCCTAAGTTCAGTGGCGCAGTTTCTGAGGATTCATAGGGTTTTCTGGACCAGTGTCACCGTATTCTCCACACCATGGGCATCGCGGAGGTGAGCGGGGTCGCCTTTACTACATTTCAGTTGACGGGATCAGCATATAGATGGTGGCAGGTTTATGAGGAGGGTAGGCCAGTTGATGCAGCGCCACTCACTTGGGCTCAGTTTTCTGATATATTTTTGAGGGAGTTCATCACATAGACCCTCCGGGATGTATGGTGCATAGAGTTCGAGCAGTTGCATCGGGGACTATGACGATTTCAGAGTATTCCATGAGGTTTAGTGAGTTATCTCGCCATGCACCTGCTTTGGTTTCTACAGTCAGAGAGCAAGTCCGCAGATTTATTGAGGGGCTCAATTATGATCTTAAATTTAGTATGGCACGAGAGTTGGAGACTGATACTCCATTCCAGCAGGTTGTGGACATCATTCGGAGGTTAGAGGTATGCATGGCCAGGAGAGAGAGAATAGGGAGGCCAAGCGGCCTCGAGATTGTGGAGGATTTAGTGGTTCCCATGCTGCAGTTTCAGCTCGTCATGGCAGAGGGTATGCCAGTCGACCAGTTTATTTGGCACTTCAGGCTACTCGCAATGCACCAGCTATTTAATGACCTTATAGCACCCATTTTGCTCAACCACTTTCCAATGTACCTCCTGTACGGGGTGCCTTCAGCGGTCATTCTATCCGATCGGTTCAGACACAGTTCCAGCAGCCACGCCCTCAGAGAGGTTGTTTCAAATGTGGTGATTCCAAGCATATGGTGAGGGACTGTCCTAGACTCATGAGGGGTGTAGCTCCACAGGGTTCACATGCTATGGCTGCAGCTCTAGTTGCTACTCTATCTTCACAGTCATGTAGGGATAGAGGTCAGGCAGGTAGGGGTCATCCTAGAGGGGGAGGTGTCACGCCCCGAACTCGGGGAGCACGACCGGCACTCAACCGAGTGAACCCGGCCGAGAAAGCCTATTAGATTTCCTTCTACCCAAACTCATTCATGAATAAAGAGGAAATGCACTCCATTAATCAAACACTCAAAAGATCTCATTAACAACTCCCATTTTATTCCATTACCAGCTTCGCTCCAAAATATTACAAGTTTATAGATATAATGAAAAATATGTTTGCCAATTACCAACATTTCTAGTTCAATTTCCCACATCAAACACCACCCATAACCTGTCTACGGAGCTTCTAAGTACAATATAAGAGTAGTATGGAAGTGCTGGCAACAAGGCGCCGGTTATACCTCAAAAGACAAAGTACAACATCATACGATATCAGGCCCGGAATAGAGTAGGGCTCACCAAAACCTGCCGAATAGGGAGTAACTGCTAAAGTTGCCAGCTAATGAACCACCTGCATCTATGGAAGATGTAGCGCCCTCGACAATAGGGACGTTAGTACATATGGAATAGTACTAGTATGTAATGATAACTGTCCTATTTCAAAATAGAATGCCTATATAAGAAAGGGAAAACCATAGAAGCAACAAGTCACAATCAAAAATATCCAAATGCCCAGTTAAAACATAACAATTTTCAAAATACGAAAATAATATATATTTTTGGTTGGGAGATCATTAGCACCGATATACCACCGTGTTTTTAGCACGGAGTCCGATCACGCACGATCGGCTAGGCCATCTCCCCACGAACAATGTGGTTTGACATGTGATGTGAAAAAGGGTGTTACCAAGAGTAGTACCACCATGTGCGTAATATGGCGTCCGATTTTCACTCGATCAGCTAGGCCACCTTCCCACATATGCCGTGTGGGTTGACTTTTCCAATTCACAACCATTATTAGTTTTATCCCAATTAATGGAAATAATATCAACTCATCAATCACATCCCAAATAAGGGGAATAATCACACTCCACTCCTACACCGACACGTGTAGTTTCGGGTATGGGCCTTATGACCCACCCTTCCTCGGTTTACTAATGATACTCACAAAATATTTTTGATTTGCACACAAGGGAAACAAAAGCAAAAATATATTTACCTTATCATCTTTCACATTTTATAAACCCCCATTATTATTTGCAACCAATCACAACAACAATACTTCCTTGGCTCTTTGGCCATCAACAAGATTCTTTATTCAAGGCACGGTGGCCGTATTTCATATTCCACGCTTTCATATCTTTCCTTTCATAGATCATCATCACAAATATCAACAATTATAATATTCCGAAAATCACAACTTTAAGTTCATTAGAAATGAAGGCTTTAAACACAATAGATTTCTTTCCAAGAAATGGAGAAAAATGATTAGCAATCGAAGCGCAAGTTAAAATCATAACCAAGTAGCACACCATTTGTTCTTGAAATACTTTTCCCCAAGAAGGACAATACACAATTTTCACTCACGAATATGTAAGGACGCAAAACACATTGAAAAATACTTGTAGAGCATAGCATCTGTTAAAACAGCCAGATATGGGC